AATAAAACATATGGAGATAACGAACAGTATTCCAGATCAAAAGTCCATAAAACAATACAAAAAAAGAGCAGAGCAAGCCAAACATGGACCTCCAAAACATCAGATGTGGGATCTGGTGCCATGGAGGAGTAAGCATCCCCTGCCGACCGGTCATATCCAGTTAGGTAAAGTTAGATCATACTCATATCTCTTTTAAATAATAAGATTCTCTTGCATATATTAAATTGATTGTTTCGCATATTTTACTGCTTTATTGAATGTAAAATTTTACTATCTTGTATTTGCTCCTGATTTCTTGTCTAAAACTAAGCAGTGTATAAAACAAGAGGCCCACGGGCCTTATAGGTCACCAGAGTATTGTGCAATAACTTTCAAACAATTAAAATTGGTTCGTGTTTTAAACCAGAGGCCATGAAATTCACAATTCACAATTTTGGAAGAGGCACCATATTGCTTATCATAATTATAAAATAAGCATGCTTACTCTATCTACCTAATACCCAGATGTAGATCAGAGTAACAAAGAGAAAATGCACTTCCACTTTATAACCAGTTGTGCACCTCATCCCAAAGGAACCACTGACCCTGGGGCCACATATTTCAAAATTTTGCAAATTTTATCATAAAATGGTTGATTAATACTAAAGAGCAGATTTCAAAGCATTAATTTATTTTCAGACTATGACCCCCCCTCCCCCTCCCGACCAGGGGGCATAAAAAATAACCATTTTGCTAGATGCACCTTTCTTCATCATATATATATATATATACTTGGATCACTGGCATAAACCCAGGAGCAAAGGAAAAGATTTTCAAAGAATTAATGCATTTTCACTATATAATCAATAGAGCCCCTGATCCTGGGGCCACAAAATCCACAATTTTGGAAGAGGCACTCTTTCTTAACATAACTATGAACTTAATTAGTTTATTTAATACCCAGAAGCAGAGAAAACGATTTTCAAAGAATTAATGCATTTCACTATCTGATCAATAGAGCCCTGCCCTAACACAGAACCCCTGACCCTGGGGCCACAAAATTCACAATTTTGGAAGAGGCACTCTTGCTCAACATAACTATGTGTTTAGTTAGTTCATTTAATACCCAGAAGCAGAGAAGAAGATTTTCAAAGAATAAATGCATTTTCACTATATATGATCAAAAGAGCCCCACCCTAACACCATAACCCTGACCTGGGGCCATAAAATTCACAATTTTGGTAGAGGCACTATTGCTCAACATAACTATTTACTTAGTTAGTTTACTTAATACCCAAAAGCAGAGAAGAAGATTTTCAAAGAATAAATGCATTTTCACTATATGATTAATAGAGCCCCGCCCTAACACCAGAACCCCTGACCCTGGGGCCATAAAATTCACAACTTTGGTAGAGGTACTCTTGCTCAACATAACTATGTACTTAGTTAGTTTACTTAATACCCAACAGCAGAGAAGAAGATTTTCAAAGAAATAATGCATTTTTACTATATAATCTATATAGCCCCGCCCTAGCACAAAAAACCCTGACCCAGGGGCCATGAATTTCACAATTTTGGTAGAGGACTCAATGCTCATTACATTCATGCCAACAGTTTGCCTGCTTGATGTCCAGGAGTAAAGAAGACTCAAGATTTTTAAAGATTGCAATAATTTTGGTGGTTTTGGCCCCACCCCTCAGGCCCCAGGGGGGTGGGGACCATAAAATTCACAATTTTTGTTCCCCTTCACCCATAAATGCTGTATACCAAATTTGGTTGAAATTGGTTCAGTGGTTTCAGAGAAGAAGCTGAAAATGTTCAAATGTTAACACACGACGGACGACGGACGACGACGGACAAAAACAGATAGCAATAGAGTTACTCAGGTGACCTAAAAAGCACATTTAGTATTCATAATCGATACTGTTGCTTTTTAGTTGTTAAAATGTGAAGTTATGTTTCGCATTATATCAAACTGAATTTTGTAGTAAAATTACGATAGGGAATGCTTACTCCACCTATGCACCTGATCCCATCTCTAGAATTTCCTTGGGTCCATGCTTTAAGCCATATAACAGATGTGTATTGATTGTAGATTAGGAATAGAATACACCAGTTTGAAATACAATCGATTAATTTTAATTTTTTAAACTCAAATCCTGTTCGTCGTATTTTCGAAACTTATATTAAGTTTTTTTATAATGTTTAATATAATATCAGTTTTAAAAATGGTTCCAATTAGAATTAAAGACCCTTCCATGCAAGAAAGACAAGTACTTTTTTCTTTTCTATAAGAGTATGGTCCATTATGAAACCAAAATTCCTGAATACGTTTCGCAGACAGACGTTTAATATCATTTAATTTTAGCCCTGAAACTGTATTTTAAGCTTTCATTTAAAATAATAATTTTCATATTTGCAGTGAGATTCTGTTTTAACAGTTAAAACAAAACGAATTAAACAAACGATTAAATTGATATCTCGTTTTAGATCTTTACATTTACGGCTGTTTCACCGTCACGCGACACGATAATTATCAACACAGCTGTTGTTATCCTTGACAATGTGTTACATGCAACATGTTGAAATTAATATTTAAACTATAAATATAAGTATGATTCAGTTTCAAAATTAAAACACAATCGTCTACGCAAATGAGACTAGCAATTTTTGGTTTTAGTTTCGTATTTTGTATCCTTATTCCTTTGAATGTGGGAGTAGTAGCACTAAAGTGTAATATATCAATTAAATGTACAAGAACACCACTTTCACAAATCAAATGATAAAATTATTATCACTATCGTAATTTCAATAATTCTCATTACTTTTAATATATTCATGTGGGCCAATAAAGGATCTTAACTTTGCATTAAAACCTTTGGTTTTCCTATTCGATTTAAAATTCATTCGCAATATCTATTGAAAATTCTTCTTTGAACCTTATCAAAATATTCACAAAACAGTTCTTTCTTACTATACAAGGCAAAATAAGGAAATGACTTAAATTTATTGTGGGCAAAACATGAAAAACAAAACCTTGACACGTCAGAACGGATAAAATGTATCAAATGTATGTTTAAAAATAGATATATTAAAGTCAGTATGTACTGGTTACTGATGACAAAGCAGGTAACAACATTATGTTGTTTGTAAGGCTCATTCTTTAAATTGTATTTAGAGGACTAGTACTAATCCTACTTATACCAATAACTCCCTTTCTAAGGAGGAAATTCTTCAAAATTATATTTTGAATATTTTTAATATTCCTAACAACCAGAAAGAATTTAAGTTACTTTATCTATATTGGATTCTTAAACTTCATAAAGTCTAGAAAATTAATGTTCTACAAAGCCTCTTTCTTTACTCCTCATTAAAATATTAGCAGTAATGGAGAAACTTTAGGGGTACTGTGCAACAATATATTGGAAAAGTGGTGTAAATCAGATGTGGAAACTTAAAAATTCCAAGGAACTTTAGGAATGAATGTTGTTTAACGCCGAGTCAGCAATTTTTCAGCCATGTTTCGGCGGATGGAACTTTAGGAATTTGAAATCACAAAATTTTACCAAAATAAACATTATCTAAACGTACGACTTTTAAACTACATATACAACCATTCCGCAAGATAAAGTAAAGTCTAGGCTTTCTGACATCTTTATTTTATTATTTTGTCATTGGTCGTTTGCAAAATTACTTTCTTAAAAAACATTCTGATTATGAAAACATATACTCTGAAGTAAGTTTCTGATTGACAATATCTTCATGGTTTTTGGAGATCCGGATTTCAACGATCTATTACGCCCCGTTATTAACAGGCCTATTTTTCTATTCGTATGATACACAATATGTCCAAAGTCTTATACGTGAAAAGAAGAAAACAATTGCTTTGTCCTCAACTCGACATTTAGATATATCGACGACGTATTGTCAATTAACATATTTTTTCCATTCTTATGTCGATACAATAGATCCTGTTGAGTCTTACACATATGTATCAGTTTAATAGGGGTGTGCAATATTACCGGTATATCGGTATATTGCGGTATAATCCTTGCTGACAATATATCGCGATATGATAATCAAATACCGGTATTTTACGATATATATGAATATATAAGGAAATAATTAATGTTAAAGAAACAGTCGAAAAAAGTGTTTGAAACTCGCAATAACCTCAACAAGATACCGGATGTATGTGTTACGATAGTAACTGAAGACTTTTCATGGTAGGTATGTGTGGATACGGAAGAGGTTGGACAATTTTTTTTTTTGTTTTACTTTAAGTATAGTTGACCTACAATAAAAAAAAAATTACGATTAAATGAAAAAGTGTCTAATTGCTAGCTAATAAATGACTGTTTTTTAAACATTTGATTCGATATTTTATTTTTCTCGGGAATAAGGCATTCCATGGGTCCGGTTTTAATAATACGTATTAAAACAACATGGCTGAGCCTGACGAGTACGAGACTGTAAGGAACAAAAAGGCTAAAGCGGCGGTGTGGCAGAATTTTGCTCTTAGAAAAAGAAAGAGTGACGGTGTAATTAAATCAAACATTGCGGTATGTAACATCTGTAATAGTGAAGTTAAATATTCAGGTGGAACCACAAATTTGACTGCACATATACGGGTGTATCATCCAGCTGTATTAGGAATGCATTAGGGGTGTGCAATATTACCGGTATATCGGTATATTGCGGTATAATCCTTGCTGACAATATATCGCGATATGATAATCAAATACCGGTATTTTACGATATATATGAATATATAAGGAAATAATTAATGTTAAAGAAACAGTCGAAAAAAGTGTTTGAAACTCGCAATAACCTCAACAAGATACCGGATGTATGTGTTACGATAGTAACTGAAGACTTTTCATGGTAGGTATGTGTGAATACGGAAGAGGTTGGACAATTTTTTTTTTTTGTTTTACTTTAAGTATAGTTGACCTACAATAAAAAAAAAATTACGATTAAATGAAAAAGTGTCTAATTGCTAGCTAATAAATGACTGTTTTTTAAACATTTGATTCGATATTTTATTTTTCTCGGGAATAAGGCATTCCATGGGTCCGGTTTTAATAATACGTATTAAAACAACATGGCTGAGCCTGACGAGTACGAGACTGTAAGGAACAAAAAGGCTAAAGCGGCGGTGTGGCAGAATTTTGCTCTTAGAAAAAGAAAGAGTGACGGTGTAATTAAATCAAACATTGCGGTATGTAACATCTGTAATAGTGAAGTTAAATATTCAGGTGGAACCACAAATTTGACTGCACATATACGGGTGTATCATCCAGCTGTATTAGGAATGCATGGATTGGGGAGTATTCCTGTTCCAGCAAAGAAAGACACCAACAATAACGCTACATGTGCCCCGACAAAATCCCAGGTACATCCAGTCTCGTCTCAGCAAACTCTGCCCAATATTTTAGCTGCGAAATATCCACCAAAATCACCAAAAGCAAAGACAATCACAGACTGCATAGCCAATTTCATCATTAAAGATCTAAGGCCATACAGAATAGTAGATTCTGCCGAATTCCGAACATTGGTAAAAACTCTTGACCCTCGATATCAGTGCCCTAGCAGAAAACAATTTTCTGATGTTTTGATTCCACAGAAATACGAAGCAGTGAAAACACAGGTGCAGGGCCAGTTGAAAACTGCTACGCAGGTAAGAAAAATTAACAGCAGTGCTTAATAAGTAAAACAATTGATAGTTTCATTTGAAAATAAATATAAAATTAAAATCTAAACACACTTGATTTATTGACTAGAAAAAATAATTTAAATGTTAAATTTCTTCATAGGCAAGTTAGGCCACTACGTATAGATTGGTCTCGCACTGAGTCTATTACATCTGAATTTGATAGTGATATTATCATAATAATTTCTTGTAGATTGCTATTACAACTGATGGATGGACTTCACGTTCCACGGAATCCTATGTGACAATCACATCATCCCATATAAGTGACCAATGGGAAATGAAGAATTTCGTCCTCCAAACTCGCAGTATGCCAGAAAGTCATACAGGTACATGTAACTGATTGTAACTATGTAAACCTAAATATTTATTTTTTTAAATCTTAAAAGTAAAAAAAAAGGCTCCTAAAATTTTGATTATATTTTATAGGTGAAAACATTGCTGATTCTATCACCAAAGCTTTAGGAGAATGGAACATAGCAAAGACCCCACTTTTCATGGTATCTGATAATGCAGCAAACATGACCAAAGCTGGAGAGCTACTAAACTGCGAACTCCACCTTGGATGCTATGCCCATACTCTAAACTTAGCTGTTCAGAAGTGTTTAGGGGTCCAGTCAGTTGCACGAATTCTTGCTCGAGTGAGAAGAATTGTAGGTTTTTTCCACAGAAGTAGTGTAGCCGCTGCTATGCTGAAAACACAGTCAACTTTACTAGAACTGCCCTATCACAAACTTGTCATGGATGTGTGCACACGATGGAACAGTGCATATGATATGTTAGAAAGATATCTGTCTATGCAAGCTGCAATCGTTAGTGTCCTTGTGAGCAAAGAACTAAAAAATAAGGAAAAGGATTTGAAATTTCTTTCGGATGATGAAACAACCCTTGCAGAGGAAATTGTGACTTGCCTTAAGCCACTCAAGGCCATTACCACTACCATGTGTAGCGAGACATGTCCAACAGCGTCTATCATATTACCTATTCATCACCAGCTGTTGAAAAGTATTCTTCTTCCCAAAGAAGGCGACTCGGCCACAATTATCAATATGAAGAAGTCAATGTCATCAAACCTCAAAGAACGATACGCTTTGAAAGAACATACCTTAAATAAAATCACAGCTCTTGATCCGCGCTTTAAGTCGCTGCCGTATTTATCAGAGGAGGACCGGTTGTCAGTTTTTGACATTTTAGTAAGGGAAGCAGGCAATCTTGATAACAATTTGGCACAGATCACTGTTAAGAGTGAGCCAGTGGACAATGATGACATACCTCTCCCAACTTTGCCTACATTGTCGGAAGATTCCACAGACTCTGATGAACTCCCACAGAACAACCCAACCCCTCCAAAAATCATGAAATTAGAATCAAAGTCTTCATCTAATACTCTTGTTGACATACTAGGAGATGTTTATATAACAAAGGTGGAGTCCATTCAGAAAAAGTCTCAACTGCAAGCAGCAGAGGATGAAATTTTACAATACAAGAACTCCTCTGGAATTCCAGTGAATGGTAGTCCACTTGACTGGTGGAAGGAAAACCAAGAAAAGTTTCCACTTCTGGCCGTTCTAGCGAAAAGATACCTATGCATTCCTGGAACCAGCGTCCCTTCTGAGCGTGTCTTTAGTACGGCAGGGGATATTGTAACTGCTCAGAGAGCAAATCTGAAGTCCAAACATGTGGACATGCTAATTTTTTTAAAGAAAAATCTCTGACTTTAATCACTTTATCTAGACTACTGGATCAACAAATCTAGTCATAAATATGGTTGTGAACACTTTTTGTTAACTACTTTATTGTTGTTGTAAGTTGTGAGCAAATACTCATGGAAGTTTATTTTAATTTCCCTTTCTCTAGTCTTTACAGTGTTGGACTTAACTGAATAAACTGGTTAAGCATGAACTGATGTGTCATATCTTACCTTACACACATTGAAACCTTAATATAGCATTAGAAAGTAATAAAAAGCCTTAGAATTTGATAACATTTTATTAATTTACACAAAAAAATCAAAGTATAATTTTTGGCAATATATTGCAATATATCGCAATATTCAAAGTATGATATTGCAATATATCGCAATATGGTTTTCACTGGCAATACCCAACTCTAGAATGCATGGATTGGGGAGTATTCCTGTTCCAGCAAAGAAAGACACCAACAATAACGCTACATGTGCCCCGACAAAATCCCAGGTACATCCAGTCTCGTCTCAGCAAACTCTGCCCAATATTTTAGCGGCGAAATATCCACCAAAATCACCAAAAGCAAAGACAATCACAGACTGCATAGCCAATTTCATCATTAAAGATCTAAGGCCATACAGAATAGTAGATTCTGCCGAATTCCGAACATTGGTAAAAACTCTTGACCCTCGATATCAGTGCCCTAGCAGAAAACAATTTTCTGATGTTTTGATTCCACAGAAATACGAAGCAGTGAAAACACAGGTGCAGGGCCAGTTGAAAACTGCTACGCAGGTAAGAAAAATTAACAGCAGTGCTTAATAAGTAAAACAATTGATAGTTTCATTTGAAAATAAATATAAAATTAAAATCTAAACACACTTGATTTATTGACTAGAAAAAATAATTTAAATGTTAAATTTCTTCATAGGCAAGTTAGGCCACTACGTATAGATTGGTCTCGCACTGAGTCTATTACATCTGAATTTGATAGTGATATTATCATAATAATTTCTTGTAGATTGCTATTACAACTGATGGATGGACTTCACGTTCCACGGAATCCTATGTGACAATCACATCATCCCATATAAGTGACCAATGGGAAATGAAGAATTTCGTCCTCCAAACTCGCAGTATGCCAGAAAGTCATACAGGTACATGTAACTGATTGTAACTATGTAAACCTAAATATTTATTTTTTTAAATCTTAAAAGTAAAAAAAAAGGCTCCTAAAATTTTGATTATATTTTATAGGTGAAAACATTGCTGATTCTATCACCAAAGCTTTAGGAGAATGGAACATAGCAAAGACCCCACTTTTCATGGTATCTGATAATGCAGCAAACATGACCAAAGCTGGAGAGCTACTAAACTGCGAACTCCACCTTGGATGCTATGCCCATACTCTAAACTTAGCTGTTCAGAAGTGTTTAGGGGTCCAGTCAGTTGCACGAATTCTTGCTCGAGTGAGAAGAATTGTAGGTTTTTTCCACAGAAGTAGTGTAGCCGCTGCTATGCTGAAAACACAGTCAACTTTACTAGAACTGCCCTATCACAAACTTGTCATGGATGTGTGCACACGATGGAACAGTGCATATGATATGTTAGAAAGATATCTGTCTATGCAAGCTGCAATCGTTAGTGTCCTTGTGAGCAAAGAACTAAAAAATAAGGAAAAGGATTTGAAATTTCTTTCGGATGATGAAACAACCCTTGCAGAGGAAATTGTGACTTGCCTTAAGCCACTCAAGGCCATTACCACTACCATGTGTAGCGAGACATGTCCAACAGCGTCTATCATATTACCTATTCATCACCAGCTGTTGAAAAGTATTCTTCTTCCCAAAGAAGGCGACTCGGCCACAATTATCAATATGAAGAAGTCAATGTCATCAAACCTCAAAGAACGATACGCTTTGAAAGAACATACCTTAAATAAAATCACAGCTCTTGATCCGCGCTTTAAGTCGCTGCCGTATTTATCAGAGGAGGACCGGTTGTCAGTTTTTGACATTTTAGTAAGGGAAGCAGGCAATCTTGATAACAATTTGGCACAGATCACTGTTAAGAGTGAGCCAGTGGACAATGATGACATACCTCTCCCAACTTTGCCTACATTGTCGGAAGATTCCACAGACTCTGATGAACTCCCACAGAACAACCCAACCCCTCCAAAAATCATGAAATTAGAATCAAAGTCTTCATCTAATACTCTTGTTGACATACTAGGAGATGTTTATATAACAAAGGTGGAGTCCATTCAGAAAAAGTCTCAACTGCAAGCAGCAGAGGATGAAATTTTACAATACAAGAACTCCTCTGGAATTCCAGTGAATGGTAGTCCACTTGACTGGTGGAAGGAAAACCAAGAAAAGTTTCCACTTCTGGCCGTTCTAGCGAAAAGATACCTATGCATTCCTGGAACCAGCGTCCCTTCTGAGCGTGTCTTTAGTACGGCAGGGGATATTGTAACTGCTCAGAGAGCAAATCTGAAGTCCAAACATGTGGACATGCTAATTTTTTAAAGAAAAATCTCTGACTTTAATCACTTTATCTAGACTACTGGATCAACAAATCTAGTCATAAATATGGTTGTGAACACTTTTTGTTAACTACTTTATTGTTGTTGTAAGTTGTGAGCAAATACTCATGGAAGTTTATTTTAATTTCCCTTTCTCTAGTCTTTACAGTGTTGGACTTAACTGAATAAACTGGTTAAGCATGAACTGATGTGTCATATCTTACCTTACACACATTGAAACCTTAATATAGCATTAGAAAGTAATAAAAAGCCTTAGAATTTGATAACATTTTATTAATTTACACAAAAAAATCAAAGTATAATTTTTGGCAATATATTGCAATATATCGCAATATTCAAAGTATGATATTGCAATATATCGCAATATGGTTTTCACTGGCAATACCCAACTCTACAGTTTAAGATATTTTACTTAAAAAAGACATCAATGGTAATCTAACAACCAATATTTATGACAAACGAGATTATTTTTACATTTCAATCGTCAACTTCCCTTACTTATGCAACAATATACCTTCATCATCTGCATATGGGGGTTATATCTCTCAGTTGATTCGATACTCAAGAGCATACTCTTTGTATGAACAATTTTTAAACGAGGTATGTTATTGACAAACAAGTTGCTAAAACAAGAATATCAGCAGTCTCGTTTAAAGTCGTCATATAGTAAGTTCTGTGGTCGATACAATGACTTTTCATCAGCAAATACAATTTTTCATAAAGTCAAATGCTGACTGACGTTTTTCATACGAATTGTTAGACCATTATGTACAAACTGAATTTTCGACGGGAAATTTCCCGTCATTTCCCGATCATGACAAAGAGTACATAGCGGGCGTGACTGGTCTGCAGGGAATGATCCCTCCTCCATGGCACTTGATCAAACCTCTGATGTTTTAGAGGTCCGTGTTTGCTTAAGCTTTGCACATATTTTGTGTTGATTAATGGGTTATTGAGCTTAAATACTTATCTCTAATTGTTAGTTCACTAACTGTGAGTCCATTATTTGTAAACTGAATTGACAACAGATTTTTCCGCTATTTCCTGATCATGACAAGGAGCATATGGCAGGTGTGACCGATCGGCGGGGAATTCACACTCCTCCATGGCAGCTGATCCCACTTCTTCAATTTTGGAGGTCGATGTTTGCTCTGCTTCTATTGTGTATTGTTTTATGGACTTTTGATCTTGAATACCTTTCGTTATTTCCATATGCTCCATATATTTCATTCTTATCATTTGAAACAAATTGATATTGAAGTAAATATTATTGGTTAATAATTGCATTTTAATTAAGTTCCACTATAGAGGTTTATATTGCTTCAAAAGAGGAAACAAGAGAATTTTGCCAAAAGATACTGGCATTTCTTTCTTGTGTAGATAAGCAATTTTACAATGCAATACATCCCTATTTATATATGCATGTTTTCTGGAGGTTTATAAAATATTTTTTAAAAATGAAAACCAAGTTTTCCAACAAATGTTAGAATTCCGATAGGCATAGTGCTTCTTTCTTAGCCGACTTATTTTTTTTTTATTCCTATGAAGTGGAATTCATTAAAAACATGAGAAGAGGAGAACACACGTTAAGGCCTTCTACATTTAGATATAGATGTATATCGACGAAGTTTTATCTATTACCAGTAGCAGTTTTCATTGTCGAAGCATGCTACTCTATGATAATTTGATGTTAAATGAATCTCAACATTTCGTGAATTCTATATTCTATGACTATCATTCATATACCCCACTGAACTTGAAATAAGATATCACAGCATCTGTCACATCCGTTTTAAATTTTGGAATTTTTTTTTTTAGTATAAACGATATGGGACAACTAACTTCATTGTTTGACAAACGAGATGACTTCAGCTCTTCAATCGTTAACTTCCCTTCTTTATGTGGTCAATTTCTATAATCGTTATGATGACTTTGTTAGCAATTATGACCTGGATCGTATTTTGGATTACTTGTTTCATATGACATGTTTCAGGACATAAAACACAAAGCATTGGAAATTCCAGAGCTGGAATACAGTTCCTAAGCGTAGTGACCTTCCCCTTCGATTCAAATACCAACTAGCTGTTTTTTGTTTTTTTCTAAATTCATTTTCTCAAAACTAGATAAATCCATAAACAAAGAATATGCCAGGGGAAAAACTTGGAACAGAAAGAAAAAATAACCATGGGACTGTAAACATGATCAAATATGCCACTTTTTCAAACTTAAAGGCATGTTGCCAGAGTAACCATGACACTTTAAAATTAGTTGTGTTTTTTTCACGATCATGACAATGAGCACACGGCGGGTGCGACCGATCGGCAGGGGATGCTCACACCTCCATGGCACCTGATCTCACCTCTGATGTTTCGGAGGTCCGTGTTTGCTCTGCTCCTATTTTGTATTGTTCTATGGACTTTGATATTGAATACTGTTCGTTATCTCCATATCCTCCTTATATGTGGTATCAAGAATTTTTCTTATTGAGAGTTTGGAGAAATTATGAGACTAAGTATTTCACAGTTCCTATATCAAAGTTTTCGTTATCACAAAATCATAGAGTAACTTATTAATTACAGAGGTTTTACTTACCTGGTGTTTTTAAAAAGATGTGATGTCAGCTTAAAATTAAAATGCACCAGTGGGAATCCAACGGTAACATTTAAATGTTTGTATTGTCATAAAAATATTTGCTTTTACTAGACTTAGGACAAAATTCTAAATGAAATATTTTCAATGTCTTACCTATGATGTCCCTCAAGTAGTCATAAAACATTTTCTAGCAATATTTTCTGTGAGTTTTGTTTTACCGATGTTTGCTCCTCAGCTTGGGACATTAACATATAATATTATTAGGCTAAAAATGAAGCTTCATAAAGAATTCTTTTGTGCAGAAAAATCATTTAATGAATGTTAATATTATTTAAAGAGTTTTGAAGTTTTGGGAACAAATATGAACATCACTCAAAGTGCAAAATACATAGATTTTGAGAAAAATGGATTTTTTTTTTAAATCTTGCATTAGCAAAATGGCAAGGAATAATTCAATTAAATTTAATTAAAGTGATCTGTAATATTTTGCAATGATTTCACGTGCTTTTTGCACTGTGTGAAACAATTGAGTTTTACAGACGATCTTATGTTTCGTGTTAATATGAAAAATATTCAATTTTTTGCATGAATTTATAGATATCTATACTATAATTCTTCTTACATACTAATCTTGTTAATCAGTTTTCAATTAGAAAATGTATGATTTATGATTTTATTTATGTTTCTAAAACATACATAAGAGTATAATAAATAATTTGATTAATTTCAATGATGAGCTCTGAGGACAATTATTTACATGGAAAAATACAAAGGACAAGATAGGGTAACGTCCGAATCTGGCCCCTTGTATGATGTACAAATCAGAACACTGGTAAAAATGTGACAGTTTGTAGTTAAGAAGTTAAAATGATCCTTACTTTAAGGACAGATGATACAAACAAACTTTTGTCAAAGAATTTGAAAATAACAACTTGGGTCATGTTTAAATGAATAAAATGAATAACTTTCACCGCGTAGTTTTTAATTTTTTATTCAAATCTGCACAAAAATGGAATTTAAAGTCAAAAATATTTGTATAGATTAATAAGGATGGTTTCAGAAGGGCAGACTTTTGAACATCACAGAAGGTTTACAATTTCTTTATATTCTAGAAATTTTTGCATCATTTGCAATGAAATTAGGCCAAAAAATGTATACCAATCCAGGCATCCATTTTTGTTTGTATCATCTGTCCTTAAAACAAGCACTAATTTAGATTCAAAGCTTGCATGGAAGCCACCAGGGGGTGCAGAAGTATGACATTTTCCAGAATTTCATCAATTCTGGTGGAATTTCATCATATTTAAGATACTTTTCTCTTTGGAAAACATAGAGCACAAGCTTGCCTATCTGAGATTTTTTACACATAAACTGCATCTGATACTAGTGTATAAAATATTTTAATTTGGTAGATAGGCAAGCTTTTTCTCTGTTTTCCGAAACAAAATGTGCTGTAAAATCGATGAAAATTTGCATAAAAATGAGAAAATTCGAAATTTACCTATTTCCTGACCTCTCTGTGACCGCTGCTTATTCTAAATCTTAGAACCAATACTCATTTTGTGGCATTGGTGACACCAGGTTTTTATGGATAAACTGTTGGATCATTCTGAAAGACACCCAAAATCGGGGGCAAAATACTGGTCTTACCCATCTTGTCCTTTCTTGATGAAGTAATACCTTTTTTATTTGGTCGATTTCAGAAACTTGGGAACTAGCAATACATATTGAAACCGGTATGGCAGTAAGGTATATAATGATGACAATTTACGTTTTGACAATTTCACACATAAAAGGCTTAGAAAAATTGTTGTTTTTCTGTCTTTATTTCTATAACACATTCTATAACACATAAAAATAGGTCTTAAACAACAAGTATTTGTAAAATAACTGAAATTCAGAAATCATTTGGCTATTAAACAATGAATATGTTTTAATACATACCAAACCCTGTATCTCTAATAAAAACAATTAATGGAAATGCATTTTCCCAATAATTTGCCAATAATTACCCAATATACCAGGATAAAATACATATACAAATTGTGCAAATGTATAGACATGGAAAGTAAAAAATAATGATAATACATAATGTACCCTATTCCTATTAACATTTACATCTTAAAGATGGTCTTCATCATTGTCTACAAAGAGAGTGCCTCCTTAATGTTGGATTTTGATCAATGTTTCTTAATGATTTTCCCGTCTCTGTACGCTCCGCCGTAGTTTATTTTTTCTTTTCACTACTTTTTGGTCTTTTGGTAGCGGACTCGTTGCGGGTACTCTTTGGTATCTTTAGAGGTTTGTTGTTTTTCTTTCCTTTTACCCTGGTTTGTGGTCTCGACATTACACTTAATTTTCCTGAAATTAAACAAATCATCTGATTTAGTTAAGTCGCTCACAGTGGAAATTTGTACATATATATGATGATAACTGTACTAAATATCTTCATAACCTGGTATTTCATACACATTATTGAAAAGTCTATAATTTTCCATTTCTTCCCAAAAAAGTTTGTCATTCTTCCGATCATCCTCCGCAGAGGTGACCTTAATCTGGAAAGATAAAATTCTCTTTCCTGATTTCATTTTTTTTTAAGTCCAGTTATATAAATTCCGTTTTTTAAAAATCCGTTCCAGTTACAAATTTGCATTTTTACAAATTATAATTGATCTCTCAAGGGTACACTTACATTCACAGTCGCTATCATTTTAATCACATTAAAACAGGATATGATAAAACAACTAATGTAAATCTTTGTTTATCACTTTATTGCGTTTCTTTTTATTAAAATATGGTGATAAAAAATGTACATCCTGTTTACTTCAAGATTTCTCATAGATATCAAAGTAAAGTGCATATGTCCTGATCTATCTTTACCCCAGATATCAGTATCTACGAGTATCAAAGATCACATTAAAATACACTTAAAAAGACGTTCCTCTTCATTGGTTTAAGATCACGTCTGATATATATTATCACACAGGCAGCATCAAAGCTCGGTTATGTCTACATTTAATATGGGACACAGTTTGTAATCTTTCCCAGTCGTAAAGTATTTTCATCAGTCCTTAAAAAGAAATTTCCTAGAATATGACTACGTTAAATTTTCACAACTTTTGCAGTTTTCTGCCAAAGTATAATAGGTATTGCTGAGAACTTAAACTGGTAGGTAATTGTTATTCCATGATTATGCTAACAATATGACTGCTACATATACATGTAAACTGGTAAATCTAGCTCCAGCACAAGGCTCTAAATAAATAAAGACCTTAGAATTGATATCTTTTATGTTCCAGAAATTGAAGACTTGGGGGTGCTACAGTGTAGTATGCAGTTTTTGTCCTGTCTGTCTGCCTGTCTGTCTTCTGTTTATCTGTTTGCAGGTTGGGGTTGTTGTTTTTTTTACAAAATCAATGGAATTTGAACCTTTTTTGCAATATTTTATATTTTTGACCTTTTGACTTTAACCAAAGAGACTAGCCATTTGTTTTTTAAACTTTTAACATTGGCCTTCACTTTTGAACAATTAGTACTAGGGCTTTCGTTTTTCCCATGCTCACTGATTGTGACAAGAGCTTCCTTTAGATCCAAAAAAATTAAATTTCGACCTTGACCTTGGAGGTTTTTTTTTTTTAATAACTTAACCTTGGTCATAACTTTTGAGCAGTTGGTGCTTGGATTTTTACATTTATATGTATATTTCTTGTGACGAGTCCTTTCCCTGGGAATAATTGATTTTGACCCTTTGATCTTGGAGTTGACCCACTTACTAACCTTGGCCATAGCTTTTGGACGGTTAGTTTTCCGGCTTTTATATTTCACAAGTTAAAATTTATTGATACAAGTCTTTTTTTTAACATTTTCATCTCTTTTACCTTGGAGTTCACCTTGATTTGAGAAACAATGACCTTCCCTAAAAGCTGCCATACGGGAGCATCGCTATTTTACAAATGCATCTTATTCCCTAAAATTCTTATACAAACGTGCCACATTATTTTAAAACATGCGTTTTTGATAGAATGAAATATAATGACAAAGCATTGTAAAATGAGTGTTAAAGAGTGGATTGCAAAAGGTCCAATATCTTTTTCATCAGGTATTATCAAATACGTACACATGTATGAAATTGCAAATTTCATTGCCAAAGGTAATAACTTAAAGGTATCCATGTGTCCATGTATGCAGGCATTATAAGCTGTGCAAATACAATTTTTAAAGCGTGTCATTCATTTTGCTACTCACTTTATAACTGAAAGCAGACGGATGCAGAAATCTTATGATATGAGAACCAAAAACTAAGGTACATGTACATGTATCTGTCCATAAGCTCAGTAAAAAAGATCTATTTGCTATCTCAATAAATGTTTCATGTCTCTTTTATTTTTTTCAGGCTCAGATACTCAACTACATTTTCAATATTACTTATTGTAACCAAAACGGACTATTTTACATTTTAGCACTTATCTAACCAAAAAATGCATCACATGTAAGCTCCTTTATTTCGTTTTTTTTTTACCCTTCAGACTAGATAAGATACATCTCGCAATTTTTCTTAAATTACAGAACGAAATTCAGTTTCTAAACTGATCCTCAAAGTTACACGTAAGTTACGTGGTATCATAATATTAACATGCTATATTATATGTATATTATATGTCAACATCTATTGAATTGGTTTTCATGTGCCTTACAATAATTCATTATGAATATTAGAGAATCAAAAATGACTCTTTTGATATTCGACTCTGATGACAGTACGACTATACATCCCATCAACGAAACATTTTTTCTAGTATGAAATAACCCATAAGTCCTATGCTTTATATAGGAATAGTTAGATAGTTGGATACCTACCGAATAGGTCTGGGTTGACATCCCCAAGATTATTCAGGAGCGAGGTATAGTTGTATTTTCCATCACCAATCTCTGAGGGAAAAAATGGCATAAGATAACCAGCATTCTTAATATAAATTCTTGTTTAATCTTTTATTCTTTTTAAAGAAATTTACTGTTTCAGGGCAAAAAAAAATTCCTTAAGGTCCAGAAACCCTCTGCTCACTCATATAAAATGTATCTTTAACTCATCTGATTTTCCAAAGGAAATGAATATGCTTAGTAAAATGCAAACAATTAAAGCAATGTTTGCGGGGCAAAACTGGACAAAAAAGACATTTCACTTTAAGAATTTATAAAGGAATAATAGACATTGCCATTAAGTTATCTCTCTTATCAGAGTATCGATGTACCTTAAGTTTGATTATTAGGAAATTTACATTGTTCTGTATAATATTTAGTTTATAAAATACGAATGAACTTGCAAGATAAAATGAGCTTGGGAATTATCGCATTTTATCAGGTTTCCTTTTAGATGCACTTACAGAACAAAATTCACAGATGCAAATTTATAGATTACTAAGAGGAGACAGTCGAGTAGGTCTGATTGTCTTTTGTTTACCAAGGAAACAGTCAGATTAACGAGATAATCATTGGTCAACTCTGATAATTTAAAAAGCCAGTCGATTGTTAGCATTCTGAACAAATGAACCTGATAAGGTTAGAAATCATCCAGATTGCTATTTAATTAACGGGTGGTCGTAATAATTGAAACCGAATAGAAATGGAATATCCATGGGGACTTCGCGTTGGTATTCCTCTGATTTATTCACTTGTTCCATTATCATGCTTCTATAAGCTCTTCTTACAAGATAAGGTGAATTTTTAAGGATAAATGCTACATATAATAAACGGTAATCGAGTTCTTCCACCTAACTGACGTCTTTTAATTCCCCATTCATGGCCATTTAATGCATTAAATTGTCCTCCACACTGTTAATGAACTACTTAATTCGATTAAAGGGAAAACTGCAAAGCAGGTTTCTAATTTTAGGTGTTCTTTGTGAAACAGGTTAAACAGATTCAAGGTTTTAAACACATGGCTTTTTCGTGAACTAAAGATATTTTCGGTGTCTTTAAAACGCCATCAACAGATCGCATCTGTTCCAAGACTTTAAAATTAAAATGATTTAAAACATTTTCGTAAGAATTTTATTTTTAAAAAGGGGTTTGTAGGTACATGTTCGTTGCAATTTTTATATGCCTTTATACCTAGGATTTATTACTTGGTCGAAGCTGGCCGACAGATTTTATACAGTTTTCACTTTCTTTACAGATTAATTTTTATTTTACCTCGACAGTATCTAGTATCGGTACCTCGGCTCTCTTTATATTAAATACAAATTATGATGGACATACACATATTTTCTTACAAGAATTATTCAAGATTCCTGGTAGGTGAACAACTCTTTGTGAAAAGTACTCACTTTCTACGCGTATTAATACATATGTTTCCCTGCCGTTAACAACTTCACTTGCGTATTCTTTGGTTCGTGCAGACAAATTCTTTACTTGACCATCCATGTCCACCAAATCAATAAGTACTAAAAGCAAACAAAAGGATATCAAAAACAATGTCAAAGAGAGCTCACAGTCTTGGAGTTAAACATCGCCCCTTATTACTACACACAAAAGAACGTATATGCATTACTAAACTGAACACTTTCAGTTTCAAAATCAAATATCGCAAGCTTGATAATTACAGTTGTATACTCAGTATATGGTATAAACTTACAAAACATTATACGTATAACTAAATTCTTCCTTACATAAAAATCACAATTTGACCACGGACAAGAATGTCTTTAAATGCAAGAATATATTTTGATAATTGATATGCGATGTTTTCTCGTAAAACATTGACCCTGGACGCTTTTTACAAGATGAATCAAGCTTCAAGAGAGACGGACAACATAATGAACAATGCTTATTTCGTTCATCTCTGAAGCTTATTTCATAGCCATAAGCAATATATTTGCAATGCCCTTGTTGTTTTTTATAATCAAATACAGACATTGGAATAAAACAGTCGTACAACATGAAATTATGTCTCGTCTTTGAAGTTGAGAAATTCAAAAATTACAAGGACATATCAAACTACGCTAACATTCCCGGGTTATGTCATAGTTCTTTGAAGTTGTTCAAATCAGATTATCTCATGGAAAGTGGGTACAAGCCAATCAGAACAATTTTGTCCTCCTTAAAACATCAAGTGAAACTATTAGATATGAGAAAGCGCATTTACCTAAACCTTGGGGCACTAATATTGTTATATATTGTCATGTATTGTATAGAAATGTTCATTAAATCCTCGCTCAGATCCCCTTTGTAGAACTTTATTCAGCCTAAAGTTCGCAATCTTAAAGATTATTACTTTTTGGAGCATGTTATATCTATTCAATACTTATGTTTCTCTCAAGAAAACTTTGTTATTATTCAACTCCTTTTCCAGTTTATTTGTCACTTTTGTATTGATGAACAATCGATGTAATACAAGGCAAGCTTTTAATTTAATGTTTCAAGTTTGGCAACTTATACTTGCTCAAACATTAATCAAACATTCACAAACCTCCAAATCATTATATTTTTTTTGCAAAACTCAACTTGGCCTTTACTCCTCAACCTCAATAATGTCTCTTTGAAAAACCACGATCGATACCCAGTGAGTGTATTCAGACCAGGACCATCTCAATATGATTGTGTTACTAGTTATATCATCAGCACTTAAATCTGTCACTTTGAAAACCACTAAATGGCCCTCCAACTTTAATGGTCATTTCTTCGGTTACAAAACTGGCCTGGTAAATAACAAACTGCTATTTATTATACATTGACGTCCTAATGACCTTGTTTAAAATCCCAAAATCTTTACTTTTACGAAGAGTTACTTGTAGGTACGGTATTGTTTATCTGTTTATAAGATCAAGACAAGAACCATACGGGTGAACTCAACATGGACATAACATGTCAGTGGCTGTACCTTATAACAGGCGAGGGCACGGAAGTGAATAGTGAAACAAGCATGTTTCAGCAGTAGCCTACGTGTATACTAGTATATTAGCTGCAGAATTGTAGCTCTCCAAAAATATTTTGACTGACCGTCTGGTCGTCCATCCCTGTGTTTTTACACCAGCGAGCTACAGATCTCCAGCTAATGTATTGTTATATTGTGAATTTTGAATTTACCAAGTGGCAGTAAATACAAAATTTACAACATGACAAATATATGTGTCAGAATTCCTTGAAAGGTTCTACCAAGATAAAATATGTTTCAAAGGTAACTATGATTTCTCCTTATCTTACAAATGATGATAATTTCAAATCATTACTTACTATCACTATCACAATTGCACTTTTTTCTGATCCATTCAAGCAATGTGTAACTAGAGCACCATGGGTTGAAAATGGCCTCTTGATTATCTGAAATAAACAATTAATAAAGATACTTTAAGTGTAAATATGTGATCTGATTTCTCTTTTTTTCATGCCTTTCTGACTGCAAAATTAAGAATATTTGAATTTACATGTATATTATTGATCATGAACACAGTAAAAGTTGATTCGAACTGAACAAAAGTTATATTCATGTTGTCTTTAATGGCAAGAGAAAACTTTTTCGGTTTATTCTATTGTTGAACATGCTTCCATATAAATATGATGAATTATGTTTTTGTCATTCTTGAGAAGAAGATTTTTTATTTTCCTATATATCTCTATGTAAAACCTTGGTCGGCCATTTTGGCCCGGGGGTCATGATATGAACAAACTTGAATCTACACTACCTGGGCTTCCATATAAATATAAATATGGCTTTGTCTTGAGATGCTTCCATATAAATATGATGAATTATGGCTTTGTCATTCTTGAGAAGAAGATTTTTAAAGAATTTTCCTATATATAGATTATAAACGTCATAAATGTACTCTTTAAGAGAAACATTGAATTGCTCAATGTTTTCTTCGAAACAAACTTAGTAAACATCCTCTGAGCCAGAAAAACCAATTATCTGCTCTATAGTTTTATAGTTTAAATATTTGGGTGGTAAACTTCTTAAAGTGTCTATGAGAGAACATAAATATTGATCAAACCAAGTAGTGTTGTCCTGTTTAAAATTCAAAATCGATTTCAATTTTAAAGGACAAAGTGAGATTAAAGCTAAAAGTAGAGTGTTGTCCTGTTTAAAATTCAAAATCGATTTCAATTTTAAAGGACTCTCTCTCTCTCTCTCTCTCTCTCTCTCATTGATTACCAGGCAGTATAATGGTTAGCATCTCACTACCTATCGTCAGAGAAAATAATAAAAGACTGGAAATTTATTTGAGTTTTGCAGAGAAATGGTCACAGGAAGTAATTACAAAGCAATAGAAATTGGATCAATTTTAGTGAAAATAATTAATGGTATCGGAAAGGCAGGATAAAAGACAAACAAGTTTTATTACAAGATAAATGTAACGACGAAAATGTAACCATAAAATGTTAACACAGATTCCTGCTGATAAGGCTGAGTTCAGAAAATGTTCATTTTTATTTAGCAATGAAGTAATATTTTTCGGGGAGAAAAAAAATATTCCAGAAAACATCGTTATATACAATAAATACTTTTCTAAACTGGATTTAAACACATCATTTATATACATTTTTTTTAATGAATTTACTTTGTACATGTTTTTCAATCTCAAGTTCGTTTATGCTTTGTCAATTACTTTAAAAAAATATTTTTCGTTTTCATGGATTATATTATAAAAAAAAATTTAATGTATATCCAAAAACCACTCACCCCCGTACTTGACCCTGATAAACGACTGGTCCCCTGTGTCCGTCATCCTGTCGTCTTCTACTCACTCCAACTCCATCATTTCATAAAATTGTTCAGAAGTCTTTTAAAAAGTTATAAAACGGGAAACTTTCCGTAAATTATGACATCTGCTAGTTCTTTCTCTCCTAGTGTTTTGCCGTAAAAAGTCACAACACTACCGTAGATTGGTAAAAATGTCCCGTCTAGATCGCCACACGAGAATCAGTTGATAACGCAAGATCGACTTCTAAATACGATTGTTTGTATCACAAAACCACTTGTTGGTAGGAATGCATAAAGGTCGCGCTACGTTTTGTCATTGGGGGTATCAAGTTATTAAGTTTGCTTCACGCCTTGACTTGTTTCTTTAAACTTATTATAATATCTGTCGACGGGGTTTAAATTTTAATTTTTTTATTTATATGCGCATTGTTTACGCCTCACTGTTGGACGCAACCTTTCACAAAGGGGTTCGTTCAGCCCGATAAGTACATTTCGACATGGAAAAGATCCCAGTATTAATCGGCTGTCCACATGCATTGGAAGAAAGGCCTTATTGATTACAATACTGCTAAAATAACCCGGTATAAAAACTTACACAACCAAGGAATTTATTGGGACGTTCAACGAAATTTAAATAAAACTTATGACAACGCTTATTCAGTTAAATCCTTTTTGTTCGACTTCGTGCATACACTAATCCCGAATAGGATTAAAGTGGTAGTTAGGCACGCGCAAGATTACTGACTGACTAATTAATTTACCACCTTCGATCTTCATTAATAATATTTATTCTAATTATAGATTGTTTGGATAATTAAAATCCACTGCCAAATATACCCCTAGCACAAATATCATCATAATCAATAAACTTTAATGAGTCATTCATTCAATTTTATTGTGAAGAACTTTTTGCACTAAATGATTCCATTAAAAGTACCCATGTGACACGTAAATTAATTAATTGAGACAAACTGCTGTCGAAGCTGAGATGATATTAAAGTCCTACATATGTATTTGTATAAGTTCTCAGCCTCCAAAATGTGGAGCTAAAGATTTTTTTTCATTAATACTACAACACCGCAAACATATGAAGAAAAATAACTTAATACATCACTGTACTGTAAATTTATTATTTAATCATATCACAGTTGGCACTGATACACATGTATGATTAACATTTCTAAATCATACAATATAAGTGTATAATATATATTTAATTCATCACTGAATCTTAAAACAGAGACTTTGAATATCAAAGAATTGGAGCCATATATGGTACGTTCGGAATTCAAAGTATGTAGATATCTTTACATTAAAGTAGATAAACATATCAAAGATTTCATTGAGTTACATATACATACTCGTACATGTAATAAGATTTGTACAATCGTAATATATGTCATCCCATCGGCATGCACACACAAAGGGGGGTTTGATATATAGAAATATAAACAGAAACATTTACATTGTATCTTAACATGGAGTATCAAGTTGATTAGTTCAAGATTCTGTGAATAAATTATTTACATGATAACCAAAAAGAATAAAAAAATATCAAAAAATTATATGCTAAAACTAGCGTTTAAATATCCTATATCGTATAATGCTAAAACTTAGGGAAAAAAAACAAAACAAGAAAACTATTAATATCGTATGATCTGAAACGCCAGGTGGTTCTAGATTGAGTATATTCTTTACATTATAAAAAGTCGGTTTCAATGCTATTTTTACTCAATAAAAATCATACTTTATCCATTTGACAAACACTGACCAACCCTGTAGGGAGTGGGGTCGGGTGTAAATTTGGTGGAATAAATAAAAAAAAAAATCAATGTCATGTTTGTTATACATTGTGCATAAAATGACTACAATAAGATTAATTCATACAAAAAAAAATGTTCAATTTAATAAATATCTACAGATTTGGCTTTTCTTTAAATATCACAGGCACTAAGCATCATCTTAAAAAAAATTCTTAAATCTATATATGAAAAAATAGTACTAGTATAAGTATGTAGATGTGCAAAAAACCGTTAAATTTATAACACCAATTTCCAAACATTTCCATTCGTTTCACACTGATATGCTCTGAAATCATTATCTGTCGTTTAACTTCCAAGAAAAACTCCATCCAAAACGCCGACAAAGAACACGTGATAGATATCAAAAGACACTGGTTGAGCAAATTCTTAAATTAGCACCTAAAGTTGTCCATTAGTTGATGTCAGCGGTGATGACGTTTGATTCTGTCAGCAGCGCCACCACCAGGAAGATGATGTACAATACGATGAGACCTATACCGTATGGACGAGACATTCGGAACTTAGACAGAGGTACGACTATCAATGACGTCAGAAGACTCAGCGCCAAAAAGCCCGCCAAAACGTACTCTTCCAAAGTGATTGAGAGCTACAGAAAACATTGTATAAATGTGACGCAATAACTCGACCAGTTTTTTTTTTATTTTGTACCTAAGTACTTTATTATTATTAGAGCAAGTTATCTACAAAACTTTGGTTCATAGCACTGTGTCTGATGTACATTTGTCTGAATATAAATCCATAACACTTTTGTAAAGATGAGATAATTGAACGAAATGTCTTCAAAATTTTGGCAAAAGTACATGCACTTTACAACAAAAGTAAAACACTTATAGATGGTGGGGTCATATTACTTCGCCTGTTTGTCTCTACAAATGTTTGAATGTATAACTATAGTTCTGATGCAACAACTCATTTTCAAAGAAATATCTTCCTTTTCTATACACAAGTACTTTACTATTCGTACATGTATATTTGGGGCCACGTTGCCTTGTCTCTATGTTTATATATTTGAATAAAAATCAATGACATTTTAGAAAGACAACTTAAAATGTCTACTCTATTTCTTTTAACAACCTTTAGCATGACCCTCTCTGACGGTGTCAGTTTTCTGGATAGATTAAAAAAAAAAACATTAAATAAATACAGTTCGTGTAAATAATTTGGCGTATTCAAAATTTAGCGCAATAAGTGGATATGGAGTTGTTGGCGTAATCATGAATTAGCGCTTAACACATGTTCGTGCCGTTTCATTTATTTATAAATGATTTCTTAGAGGTATTCAGGAACCAGCACATCATCGTCTGCGCCAAGAACGCATACAGTATTCGTTGGGTTCTGGCTTGACAAAGTAAGTGTTGTGAAGCATTTTTAAATACAATTTCAACATCAGCCTTAGTAGCCTAGTTTTGAGCAGCTTTGCTACATTCTAACAAGCTTTACGACAGGTGAGCTAAAATAATGTGACATCACATGTGTATTTTGAAATCAAAGCTTAAACTTACGTCATAGTCTCCATTCTTTACTGTGGCTATTGTAAAAGGAATTCCTATACCTAAAAGTAAATCTCATCTCTTAAGGAATAAATATCACTAGTTTAATTTATATATTCATATATATAGTTGTATAAAATGGAAAACCATTACCAGTCTTAATCAAGAGACTCAAGGACAACAATGCTTACATGTACCTGAATCACACTGCATGACTGCTATTCTTTAAAAGATCGTTTTTATGCACCCAGATTGTTTTTGTCCTGTCTTTCTGTTTGTCTGTTGATCTGTTTGTCTTTTGTCAACTTTAACCTTCACGATAACTTTTGAACTGTGAGAGATAGAGACTTCATATTTGGTGTGCCTACTCCACTAATTAAGCTCTTTCAAATGACACCAAGGTCAATGACCTTGTTACCTTGACTATGACCTATATGCTAAAATACCTGTTTTGAACTTTGTTGCCACCGGGCACATGGTGTTTCACAAACACATTTTGTTTAGTGTTTTAATACTCTGCCCCCTGACAAATTTTCCCTTTTATATTTTCAGCAGTTTAATACAGTATGAAACAGATAGATTTTTGATGCAGTAAATGTATCCATGCTGATCACTGAAATAACATCTCAAGGATACTAAACAGTGGACCTCCAAAGCAGGCCGATATGCCAATCCTGGGAAACCCTTGTCTGGCCATCACAGTGTCAGCTATTAGATCTGTAATTAAAGAAGCATATTGTGTACCCATAGCAAATTCATAATAATAAATTGACACAAAAGTTTACTGAGTATTGATGTATATACACACCTCCAACACTGTTACCCCAGGCCAGCAGAGTGAGTCCTAACACTGCATTACTTATACTAAATACCACTCCAAAGGTCTACAATAAGTAAACATTAAGACATGGAATAAAAACCTAAAATTATGAGCTCCAGCAGGAAAAAAAAGGTTACAGTCATATTGACATACCAATACTTAGTTAAAGTAAATAGCTTGAGATGAGATGTAAAGGTCATAGGGAAGATCAAGGTCAGAAAATTATGACACACCAATACTTATTTTAGTTGAAGTAAAAGAACAATGTACAGTGTCAATACAAATCTGGCCCTGTATTTTTCTAAAATATGAAAGAGATGTAAGAAAGAAAAAAAATCCTATGTGAATAAAAGGAACTCCATGCAGTAAAAATATAAAAATCATTTTCCCCACAGAACCCCCTAAATGCCAATTGTGACATCATGGACTTGTGCATTTTTGTGTATTTTCTTTAAATAATTAGTTGCAGAAGACTTCAATTCTCAGTGGAACTTTCCTTAAGATAATATAGAGCACACATGTTGTCCCACAGAGATACTGAGAAACGTGATTTTTCAAAAGATTTTGCAGAATATATCTGAAAATATATGTGGGCAATGGCCGTGGAAACCGTTTTCATAAGGGAATTAACCCTTGAAATGAGTCATTTTTAGGTTTTTTTCTTTTTAAAATTTAGGTACTGAGTTAGTGATGTCATATTTCCAGAATGGTCCTCTTTCGATCAAGTCAAATTCTGCCAAAATTTATCACATTTAAATATACTTGGCTCATATTGATATATATGATTTTTTTCATGAGAAAAATCTTCCAAGCCAATTTTATAACTTTTTGAAAACAAGGAAAATAGACTAAACAAGAGGACCATGGGCCACATCGCTCACCTGAGTAACTTGGGTGACGCAGTTCTTTACCAGATTTCCCCTCTTGCTATACCTACCGTGCCCCCTACCCCCTTCCCTTTCATGATTTTAATACTTTAGAATCTACACTACCCCATGCAGGATGCTTCCACATAAGTTTCAGCTTTCCTGGCCCAGTGGTTTTTGAGAAGAAGATTCTTCAAAGATTTTTCCTAAATATATCTATGTAAAACTTGGATTCCCTATTGTGGCCATGCCCTACCCCCAGAGGTCATGATTTTAACAATTTAATATCTACACTACCCAAGGATGCTTCCACATAAGTTTCAGCTTTCATGGCCCAGTGGTTCTTGAGAAGAAGATTTTTTTAATGACCCCACCCTATTTTTGTCTTTTCTTGATTATCTCCCCTTCTAAGAGGACATGGCCCGTCATTTAACAATTTAAACTCCTCTTCATCCAAGGATGATTTGTACCAAGTTTGGTTAAAATTGGCCCATTGGTTCTTGAGAAGAAGTCAAAAATGTGAAAAGGTTACAGATGGAGGGACGGACAGCTGGATGGACAGACGGACAGACGATGGACAAAATGTGATCAGAAAAGCTCACTTGAGCCTTCGACTCAGGTGAGCTAATAAAAAAAATACACTGAATATAATAACATGATCTTCCATAAAGATATGACTTTCCTAAACACTTTTAAGCATTCCCAAAAAATTTAGCGGGTTGGGGTGGGAAGGTATATTAAAATTTTTAGCTAAGAATTTCTGAAGATTTTTCTAGTTGCAGGAATCCATTGAAAAAGGAAATTCAGATGCTGCAATTTCAGAGTGAAACACAAGATGTTTATATTTTAATTCCCAATCCAAATTTATGGATTACGCTACAGGCTGATAAATTGTACATAAAATTCTCAACTAAGTAAATGAAATATGTGGAGATTATGAACAGTATCCAAGCTCAAATGTCCATTAAACATTACAAAATAGGAGCTCAGCAAACACTGACCTCCAGAACATCAAAGGTGGGATCAGGTGCCGTGGAGGAGTGAGTATCCCCTGCCAACCTGTCACACCTTATGTGTGCTCCTTGTCATAATGAGAAATAAAGGAAAAAATCTGTGGACAACTCAGTAACTAAATAATGTCCTAACAATCAGTATGAAAAAAGTCAGTCGGCATATGACTTAATGATAAATTGTTTTTGCTGACAAGTAAACCAAATTTTAGATTCACAGCTGTCTATGTTTAGAGGTATACATATGTAATATAAATCCCAACAGACCTAAAAATATCAATGTCAGTACAGGCCAAGGATTAAATAGAAATATCCTTGAAGCTAACATCTACACATGTACCTGTAGAATATTGACCACTTCATTGGCTACAGAGTAAATCCAGACTACTGCTACTACAAAACCCACGTAGGCAAACAGCTGAAATATACTCATGGTTATATTTTATACTGTAGATGAGCAGGGAATAAAGTATACTGTTAAACAAAATATGATTATGTCACCTTTCATTATTATTAAAATATTTTCAGTTGATTTTATATAAAGCTTAATTTCAAAGAATGATGGGGAAGAAATCTTACTGGGTGATATTTTGGTTGTTGGTCATTTTTAGAGGTGAAGAAAACCAGAAGACTGAGTATTATTCCAATAATGAGAACCAGAGCCCAGACAGGAAAACTGCTGCCAATTGTTTTTAATCCCACTGTCAATAAAGAAAATTCATAAAAAGTACTAAAATGGAAAATTAAAATAATGGCACTGCAGAGCAGAGAATCTCATTGCAACAATGAAGACAGAATTTTAGAAAATATTAGAGAATATTATTTAAATGTCATATAATTAACCTTTTTTAATGAAATAATTAAGGTAAAACAGAAAATAAAACCTTTGGTGGCCAGAGAGGCAAACACAAGTCCAGTGGTAAGCTGTAGAGAGTTAAGATAGCGGTTCCACTTGTGTAACTCTTCATCATAATCCACTACAGGCGTAGTAATTACTAAGAGGAATACCATAGGGCACTACAAAATCATTGTATCTGTGGTGAATTTAGTGTGTTAAAGATGTCACCAATAAAAATAAATACAAGAATGTTAAAAACTTAATTACGCATCTTGTATGGTTATCTTTAACCAGAATAAACAGAACTGATAAATTATCAAATCCATTTAATGATGAATATTTTGAGGCCTAACAAAATTCTGAATCATTACTTGTTTCATCAGGCTACCCACACATGATTTAACACTTTGGCTAGAAAAAGCAGAAATCAGTTTTGTATTAAAAATTTAAAATATAAAGGTGGTCTTGACCTACTCTTGTTGGGGGAAAGCTTAAATTGATTTAACAATTAATTCTACACTAACACTACCTGAGGATTCTTTAAAAATATGACTTATTATGGCTTTGCTGCTCTGGAGAAGATTTTTTTTTAAAAAGATTTTACCTACATGTATAAAGGCCTATCAAAAATGAAGGTTTGATCACTTATTATTGATCATAACCCATGAGTCATGGTTTAAAAAATTAAATCTACAATACAGGATGCTTCTGCATAAATATGACAATCACAGCTAGGCTTTACAATTAAAAGAAAACTTTTTAAAAAGATTTTTTCTTATTTATTTGTTTGTATTTCATCAATCATTGTGGCCCAAACCTATCCCAATTGGGTCATGATTTGAACAAACTTGAATCTGCACTATCTGAAGATATTTCCATTATTTTCTTCTATTTTGGCCCAGAAGAAGATGTTTATACGATGAAAAAAATTTTCACTTATTTGTAAAAATAACCCTTTGGATTGAGGCATGAAACTTCATTTGAATAAATTTTTATCTCTTTTAACTATAAGGATACTTTATGGCAAGTTTGGTTAAAATTGGCACTAAAGTTCTTGAGAGGAAATTTAAAATGTGAAAAATTAACAGAAAGATGAACAGACAGACAGAAGTGGATAAGATGTGATCAGAAAAGCTCAATTGAGCCTTTGGCTCATGTGAGCTAATAAGAGAGATAATATCAATGGGATATAAATACTGCATGTCAACGGTAAACTTTGTGTGTACCTTAAAAACCTCATAGATCCGCTTGACAATGCCCATTTCTGGCCAGCTTTCTACATCTATTGGATTAATGGCAGACAAGAATTGTTGGAACGGTCTTGTGTCTTCTGCTCTACTCTCTGTGCTGTCCGTTAGTATATTCACACTATTCTTGGTGTCTTCACAACGATTTGTTAATAAGGGCTCTCTCTCATTGTCTGTTTGAATAAAATATTTATATACATTGTATTGTAAAATGGGCATTTTTTGCATTTCTCCATATTTTTGGAATGTTGAAGATGAGACAGCGAGTGATTTACTGAACCAAATGAAATTTACATGTATTTTATACCCCGGAAAGTGATGGACCTTAATGGGAGTACAAAAAGTGAAATTGACAGTGAACTAGTTTGATTCATCTCTCATGTGAAATCATTGGAAAATATAACTATGGCATCAAATCAAACAAACTCTGACCCTGTTTCAGGAAAAGTACATACACAATTATCTGTAGTCCATGATTTAAAGAATGAAGTGTATATTTGAGTCAAAAGCAAATCAAAAACTGATATTACAGAAAATGTTGAAAAAGATATAATCACAGAAGGATAGAATATCTGTAGACATTGCTTGTGAAACAAATCGCACAGATCCTAGTTCTCACTTCTATAAGCAATCCATACAATCACATCATTACGAAAAACATGCAACAGGGAATAAGTATGGTAACCACTTTCCAGTAGTCACATCCCATAACAATCATTTCTGCAAATTACCACTGCAGAAATTAAAAGCTCTGAAATTGATATATTAATTTCATATCTTTCAGGGGTAAATTCCAAAATTCCCATTACTTACTAACTTAAATTTTTTTCTCTTGAATTTTATGAAATTTCAATGAGTTATTAAAACTATATAGGGGTACAATCAAATCCTAAAATTGAACCTACCTGTGTTTCTATCTTCTACATCACTTGCTGTGTGATCTTTGTCTTCATTTCCTGCAACACAGAATTAAAACTAAGGATATAATTTATTTCGTTCTCAAATTCTATTTTTGAAAAAGCATTGTAGTGTTCTGTATTGGACAGATCAGGTCCAGAAACAATAGTGGAGATCTGAGTTACTTTTCTGTTACGAACTTAAAGGAAATATCCATTTATTGATAAATGCTAAAATATAAGAGACTACACATTAAATTATGACAATTTTTCTGTATGTAATAAATTTAACCTAATACTGAAACTTAGACATTGGACTTTTAGAATTTGAAACAAGGCCATCATTAAGCTCTGTGTGAGTTATTGGTGTGTTAACCACACAGACCTGCACATAGGCATAAGACACAAGTCTGTGTGATTCACATATCAATAACTCACACAGAACTTTCCTTAAATAGATCTGCCAATGTACATGTACTTACTAATGCTAATTTCTCCTATAACCCCTACCGGTCCTTTGATTTTCTGGTATATGTATCTTCCTAGCACCACAACCAGCACATAAAAGATGTACAGTAAAATAAAACCTACAATATAAATGATGTTAAATGTTGGCTCGATCTCTCTCTCTCTCTCTCTCTCTCTCTCTCTCTCTCTCTCTTTTTATGTCACAAAAGTTTTGTTGACATTTCTTTTTGCAAGATATCATACATGTAGCTATTTGGTATTTATGTGAAAAGTGAAAATTTAATGATTGCATGATTTTGATCAGTGTTATATGTAATCATTTTACATGACAAAATACACAAGAAATTTTTGCGAGCAATTCTGGCTTCATCATGTAAAAATAACATTCTTGCAAATAAAAAATTCTTATTTACGGAATGTTAAGTGAATCCGTTTGTTAAAAAATATACTTATTGGCTCTTACAGCTTAATTTCAGATAAGCTTACTTCCAAATGTAAATTCTTTTATTAAAACTTGTTCTTGTATATTGCTAAGCAAAGCATTTGATACCTATTGCCTCTATCTTTGTAATCTTTTTGCTAAGCAGCGCGTTTTATACCTATTGCCTCCATCTTTGTAATCTTTTTGCTAAGCAGTGCATTTGATACCTATTGCCTCCATCTTTGTAATCTTTTTGCTAAGCAGTGCATTTGATACTTATTGCCTCCATTTGTAATCTTTTTGCTAAGCAGTGCATTTGATACCTATTGCCTCCATCTTTGTAATCTTTTTGCTAAGCAGTGCATTTGATACCTATTGCCTCCATCTTTGTAATCTTTTTGCTTCGCAGTGCATTTGATACCTATTGCCTCCATCTTTGTAATCTTTTTGTTAAGCAGTGTATTTGATACCTATTGCCTCTACCTTTGTAATCTTTTTGCTAAGCAGTGCATTTGATACCTATTGCCTCCATCTTTGTAATCTTTTTGTCCCACATGGTAACAAAAGTCCAGAAAACAGCGGCGAGGTAGAAGACAATGTCCCTGAGGAATGGCCTCTGCATGGCGTCGAAAGGGTGGATAATGGCGATAGTGCCCGCCACTACCGCTGTCACGAATACACCAGCTCCTGTATAAAGCATGTAACGTACTGAGACTACTGAAGCATCTCTAGGCTGACAGTTTGATATAACATAAATTAAAATTACACAATGTTGGTTTAATGCTGGTTTTATGTTGACCCAATATGCCAAAGATTATTTAAAAATGATTTTAATCTAAACCATTATATCTAAACTCAAACAGCTTACAGGAGAATGTACGATTTTTTTTTAAATTATCACTGATTTTCTTTTATTTATTCATTTTTTATACTTTTAAATGCAAGAATGTCTGCTTACAGTTAGATTACATGTACCTATAGGGCTGAGGCAATAATTTGGTCAAATCTTGGCCAAGCAGTTGAAATACACATAGTTACTCAGCAAATTTTTACATTATGATTGCAATGTCATGCATTCATTTGCTTTACAGAAGAAAACACTAGATAGATTAAGTGCTTAGGAAGTTTTTACATATAACAGATGTTCAGGAAATTTGTATAAACATGAAGTGATCTTAAGTGATCATGAATTGCTATATGTGAAACCTCTTCAGGAATTATTTAAATACCATGCACAGAGTTTATTACAAGAACAACTATATATTATCACTTTTCCTCACAGACACTTAATGTTAGGTATTTTTTGAACAAAAACAATTTACACCATAACTTTTAATTAAGTATTGTCATAAACACTTGGGTGATATTTACCAAGTAATGCTCCAAATGCCAGGCCTGCCTCGCCATTCTTTGCATTACCAATAGCAGCAATGGCAGAGAAGATATCTGGTGCCCCATTTCCAAAAGCCAGAAAAGTAACTCCCTTCATTCAGGTTAAGGAAAATCATTGTAAAGTATGGTTGCCCAGAAAGTTACAATTATTCCTATGATTTAATATTAAAGCACATAATATGTACTTTTAAATGTTTAAAAGACAAATTTACTCAAATCACAAAACTTGCAAAGTATTGAATAAAAAAAATTCAACAAGAGCATAATATTTGCAAATAAAAACATAAATCATAAGGTTTTTTTTCTTTAAAAGATACACACAATAAATGAAACAATTGATACAAAGTAGGACAGCTTGGTAAGGTGTCTAATAGTGAGTTGTCTAATGACGAGATGTTTGATTGCAATGTCTAATGATGAGGTGTGTGATTTCTATGTCTGATGGTGAGATGATTGATTGCATTGTCTAATGATGAGGTGTGTGATTTCTATGTCTGATGGTGAGATGATTGATTGCTATGTCTAATTATGAGATGTTTGATTGCTTTGTGTAATGGTGAGATGTTTGATTTCAACATGAATGACCAATGATAAGATGTCTGATGGTGAGATGATTGATTGCAATGTCTAATGATGAGATGTTTGATTGCTATGTCTAATGATGAGATGTTTGATTGCTATGTCTAATGATGAGATGTTTGATTGCTATGTCTAATGATGAGATGTTTGATTGCTATGTCTAATGATGAGATGTTTGATTGCAATGTCCAATGGTGAAATATCTAATGACAAGATGGTTAATATCTAATGACAAGATGGTTGATTGCTATGTCTAATGGTGAGATGTCTAATGTCAAGTCATTAGATTGCTATGTCTAATGATGAGATATTTGATTGCAATGTCCAATGGTGAAATATCTAATGACAAGATGGTTAATATCTAATGACAAGATGGTTGATTGCTATGTCTAATGGTGAGATGTCTAATGTCAAGATGTTTGATTGCTATGTCTAATGATGAGATGTCTAATGTTGAGATGTTTGATTGCTATGTCTAAATGATGAGATGTTTGATTGCTATGTCTAATGATGAGATGTTTGATTGGTTTGTGTAATGGTGAGATGTCTCATGATGAGATGTGTGATATCTATGTCTAATGGTGAGATGATTGATTGCAATGTCTAATGATGAGGTGTTTGATTGCAATGTCGCATGATGAGATGTGTGATTTCTGTCTAATGGTGAATTGTTTGATTGCTATGTCTAATGGTGAGATGTTTGATTGCTATGTCTAATGATGAGATGTTTGATTGCAATGTCTAATGATGAGATGTCTCATGATGTGATCTTTGATTGCTATGTCTAATGATGAGATGTTTGATGGCTTTGTCTAATGATGAGATGTTTGATTGCTTTGTGTAATGGTGAGATGTCTCATGATGAGATGTGTGATTCCTATATCTGATGGTGAGATGTTTTATTGCAATGTCTTATGGCAAATTGTTTGATTGCTATGTCTAATGATTAGATGTTTGATTGCTATGGCTAATAATGAGATGTTTGATTGCAATGTCTAATGATGAGATGTTTGGTTGCTATGTCTAATGATGAGATGTTTGATAGCTATGTCTAATGGTGAGATGTCTAATGGTTAGATGTTTGATTGCTATGTCTAATGGTGAGATGTTTGATTGCTATGTCTAATAATGAGATGTTTGATTGTTATGTCTAATGAAGAGATGTTTGATTGCTATGTCTAATGGTGAGATGTCTAATGGTGAATTGTTTGGTTGCTATGTCTAATGGTGAGATGTTTGATTGCTATGTCTAATAATGAGATGTTTGGATGCTATGTCTAATGATGAGATGTTTGATTGCTATGTCTAATGGTGAGATGTCTAATGATGAGATCTTTGATTGCTATGTCTAATGATGAGATGTTTGATTGCTATATGTCTAATAATGAGATGTTTGATTGCTATGTCTAATGATGAGATGTCTATGGGTGAGATGTTTGATTGCTATGTCTAATGGTGAGATGTTTGATTGCTATGTCTAATGATGAAATGTTTGATTGCTATGTCTAATGGTGAGATGTCTAATGATGAAATGTTTTGATTGCTATGTGTAATGGTGAGATGTCTAATGGTGAGATGTTGATTGCAATGTCTAATGATGAGATGTCTAATGGTGAGATGTGTGATTGCTATGTCTGATGGTGAGATGATTGATTGCATTGTCTAATGATGAGGTGTGTGATTTCAATGTCTAATGATGAGATGTTTGATTGCTATGTCTAATGGTGAGATGTTTGATTGCTATGTCTAATGGTGAGATGTTTGATTGCTATGTCTAATGGTGAGATGTTTGATTGCTATGGCTAATAATGAGATGTTTGATTGCTATATGTCTAATGGTGAGATATTTGATTGCTATGACTAATAATGAGATGTTTGGTTGCTATGTCTAATGGTGATATGTCTAAGGGTTAGATGTTTGATTGCTGTATGGTATATTTTTAATGTAACACTTAATATTCCTTTGTTAATGCACAGCTAAGGTGGGGGCCATTCAACATGAGTCAACATGATATTAGCAATTTCCATCTGTTAGAATTGACTTTATAACAGTAGTGGAATCAACCATTAGTTAAAAATATAGAGCAATCATGAATCAATAATTATGAATAAAACAAATAATTTAATTACTGGTCTTTTTGTGTTGCCTATATCATAAAACATAGGTAATCAAAGATTACAAAGCTCACCTTGACGAATGTTAATATCAGTTTAGGTAATGCAAATCTCACATCATATTTTCTTAACAGTTGGTTTTTATTCTGACAATAATATTCAAGCAAGTTCTGTTTAAATAGGTCTTAAAATTCATTGGGGATTGTCCTGTTCCAAAAACTTTAACCTCGTCACTCGTTTGGAAAATGTGGGTCAGATCCAGCATCCGAAGCAAGTTTCGATTGTCCATCCCTAGATGCATCATCCATGCAAATTTGGTCCGGGTAGGGCTTATAGTTACTTAGGAATAATCTAGTCACTAATCTGGTAAATGTAGGTCAGATCCAGCATCCGAAGCAAGTCTGGTAGTGTCCATCCCTAGATGTATCATCCATGCAAGTTTGGTCCGGGTAGGGCTTATAGTTACTTGGGAATGGACCTGCTTCAAAAACTTTAACCTGGTCACTTATCTGGAAAATGTAGGTCACATCCAGCATCCGAAGCAAGTCTGGTAGTGTCCATCCCTAGATGCATCATCCATGCCAGTTTGGTCCGGGTAGGGCTTATAGTTACTTGGGAAAAATCTAGTCACTAATCTGGTAAATGTAGGTCAGATCCAGCATCTGAAGCAAGTCTGGTAGTGTCCATCCCTAGATGCATCATCCATGCAAGTTTGGTCCGGGTAGGGCTTATAGTTACTTGGGAATGGACCTGCTCCAAAAACTTTAACCTGGTCATTCATCTGGAAAATGTAGGTCAGATCCAGCATCTGAAGCAAGTCTGGTACTGTCCATCCCTAGATGCATTATCCATGTAAGTTTGGTCCGGGTAGGGCTTATAGTTCCTTGGGAATGGACCTGCTCCAAAAACTTTAACCTGGTCACTCATCTGGAAAATGTAGGTCAGATCCAGCATCCGAAGCAAGTCTGGTAGTGTCCATCCCTAGATGTATCATCCATGCAAGTTTGGTCCAGGTAGGGCTTATAGTTACTTGGGAATGGACCTGCTCCTAAAACTTTAACTGGGACGCCGACGCCAGGGGTATAGCATAAGCTCATCTCAACTTCGTCGAGGTGAGCTAAAAATGTATATTTATTATATATGACAAGTAGATGTTTAAAAGCACTTGTGGACACTCACACAGTTTTCTCACATAAAATTCATATAAGGACCACTATCATTCCAGATGATATTTATACAAGGTTCAGTAGAAATATACCATTGACATACTCATATATTCCAGGAAGAATCGTGACACTTATACATGTATCTTGTAGGTATTTAATTCTGATGCAGGCATTTCCTTATTTTGATGGGTATCATAAGAATTACAGAATTACAGAACTGAGGGTGTATTTACTGCTAAATGAAAGACTGGTGATTAATAATTGGATCAACTTTAGTTTACAATATAAATATCCTAATTTAATGATTAAAATCAAATATGATACATATTTTATTCAGTATTTATACTTATCAAACTTCAAACCAAAGGATACAGCAATGTTATGACTCAGATGTAATGTTTTAGAGATAACAGTTAAGGCAGGACAGAAACTGAAAAAAAGTAAGAATGGCTGATACAAAAAGTGTTGTCATAAAGATAATCAGAATGAAAAATAAAGACAGCTAGTGCATACAGAATACTAAACTATTGTACATGGTTTTTTGATTCACTGTGTAGTTTTAGATGTAATATTCACATGCATGATTTCCTGTTGTATTAGTACTGTGTATAAACTTACTAGTCATCAGCTGTTATGGCCAGGCCAATGAACAGAAACAGCCACCATATGAACTGAAATAAGCATGTTCTGTATGAATAAGTGAAGTGTAATGAATACTTGCTGTTAGAATATTATTTTATAAAATGCTTTCAATGTAAGACAAACTAGAAGTACTGTGAGCAATGAGCTCACTCAATGATACCCCCCGCCTCCCATATGAATCTAATGGCAGTGTCCGTGTTTTGCTATGGGAAACCCAAAATATGTGTCGGATCAAAAAGTAAAATAGGAGGTGCACAATGGCAATATGTAATAAAAATTCAGTGGTATGAGAGGATTTGCAGATAAGAGATGGGTACCCCAAAGCATAACAGATGGACGGACGGCTAGACAGATAGACAAGGGTAAAACAGTATACCCCCCTCTCCTTCGGAGTGGGGGTAAAAAAATAAGCAGTTGGAACTTCCAAATTACCTCAAAATACCCATGGTACCAGTGCTTTAGATAAAAAGTTCAACTGTACGTATTTTGTCTGTGGCCGGTTTTGTTACCTGAATGCTGAGAGCCAGTGATGTTTTCTTACCAGAATGATAAGAGCCAGAGGTAGTAAAGCTGGGGAGAATTGACAGTATGAAAACACTGTGTAGTCAATAAACCCCTCATCTATTGAACAGTCATCTGTAGTCTTTGTGAAGTCGCATCGCTCGGATTTATTCACATTGTGGACATCGCTGCACTGCAAAGTAAAGTAATGAAAAAAGGAGAAAACATACAGTATTCAAGCTCAAATGTCCATTCAAACAATACATTTTAGGAGCAGGGCAAACAAGGACCTCTTAAACATCAGAGGTGGGATCAGATGCCATGGAGGAGTGCATGCATGAGCATCCCCTGCTGACCTGACACTCCCACAGTGTGCTCCTTGTCATGATTGGGATTAAACATAAGTTAAGGTGGGTAAAAGGAAGGGAGAAATTCACATCATTAATCAAAATAAGTGCATATATCACTGTGTAGGTCTGTTTATTTTAACATATAGCTCAAAATCTTCCCCTGCCACACATGCAAAAACACTTATAACGAACCGCAACTCAGAGTGCATGGGTAAGTAATTGGGGGAAACCTATCCATTACCAATAACTCAGTTGGTATAGCACCTGACTATTGATTAAGGGGCTCGAATCCTGGTCTGTTTCATTACTTTTATGACATTTCCTGTTATAATTTGTGCATTATGCGACCATGCATAGGAAGAGACAAGTGAAAGACCTGTCAGGGAAGACCCTGGAAGGGACGATGTTTTAGGGGAGATTACATCTCTAATGAGGGAGGAATATGGTACGTATACTTGTTCTGAGTTCCGTTGGTGGAGCACCTGACTAGTGATCCAGGGGACCCTGGGTAGAATCCTGACTCAGATCCATCCATCACATTTCTCTCACTCACAGGCACCTTATGTCAATGGGTGTTGTAACCCCCCCCCACACACACACACACACACACCCTTTTGCTTCAGATTCTTAGAATTTTTACTTGACACAAATTCTTATAAAAAAACTTCATAAATTTCTACCCTATTATCATTCATATTTTTAATATCTGACAAACATGCATGATAAACATATTTATATACTGTCATTCAATCAATATCCACTTAAAGATAAAATATACTTTATAAATTCAAGCTATAAATGAGGTCATTAAATTAAGTTATTTAATTAAAAGAAACCAAATTGATAACAGCTGAATAACATACATCTGCATCAGAATCTGAGTCGCCAACAGACTGGTTATACACAGAGAGACTGTACACTCCATCAGTAGCCGAGTCTTTATGCCACAGCAATGTCCTTAAAACACCTGAAGATCCCCTCGACAGGTGTCCAGGGTCGGAGTTCGAAACTGCATCAAGAGGAATTCCTTTTCTAAGCACAGACAGCAAAATCAGAGCTCCGCCGACGACAGCCAGTGTCGCTAATTTTGCTGGGGAAGACCGTTGGATCTTCTTGTTTACCATGTTTTCTTCCTTACATGGTCAGGAACAAAAACATCTTGCAGAAAACAAAACTTCCCCCCAATAACAATCACATGCTGCATGAACTCTAACCCCATGAAACTGTCAACATGGACAATAAATAAAGAAGTTACGCCCCTTGACAAGTGCTTCGTACAGGTACCGTAATCGAATATATACATGAGGTAGAAACATGTATAAAATACTAATTATTTATAGAATAATGTAAATATTTATTGTATTTTATTACTTTATTAAATTTTATTTTTTTTTAGTTTTGTTTTGTTTTTTCGTTCAAAGTATACCGTACATAAACGATAATCATTTAATCAAAGAACTAAACGTACTGAGAGTAGGCAGAATATATTATACATTATGTATTAGTTTGTGAGCTAAACGGATGAATTTCTTGATCAAATTTTTTAGACTTTTGATCTGCATTACCCAATGACAGATTCAGGGGTAGGGGGTTTGAACCCCCCCCCCCCTTATTTTTTATAATTGAATTCCAACCCCTTTATTTTTACGACTGAATTATAACAACATACACAGTCATTTGGCCAGTTCCGAATTTTGACCAGGAACAACTCTGAAAATGTAGATGTTTATTTTCCTCCCTTTATTCACGGTTTTCCACAGAATCAGATACATTTACAGCAAGACCTGATAAATCCGAGAATTGAATACTATAGACCTCATATACACAATGTAAGTATAGAATTGAAAAGAATTGTTCACTTGTACTGAAATTATATGCATTTATGAATATCCTATTGCAGCAAATCGTTTGACTTTCTGTCAACAATGTCGGTTCGCATTTCCTCGAATCAAAACAAAACGTAGCCTATAAGACTTTAAAAAATGTCAAAGTGCGATTTGATATAAATTGAAATAGATGAAAAGTTTAATTAAGGAATCACTGTCTAGTTAGGAGGGTATGTCAGGGCATCAACAATAGTGGGAAACATGGGATAATTTGCATAACGGGCGAAGCCCGTTATGCTTAAATTATCCCATGTTTCCCACTATTGTTGATGATAGTGGGAAACATGGGATAATTTGCATAACGGGCGAAGCCCGTTATGCTTAAATTATCCCATGTTTCCCACTATTGTTGATGTCCCTGACATACCCTCCTAACTAGACAGTGATTCCTTATATTTCCATTTCATTGTGAAATAAAATTGTAGATTTAGACTTTAAAAATGTAGATAAATAGATTTAAATCACATGATGACTTCCATGCCAATTTCAATAGTCCTCGCCAACCGACGTCACGCAAAGGCAGCCGCACGAGATTTACATGCATATTTGGCCTCCTTAGCGTCAGACACAGAGACAGATGCGCACGAGAATTGCATGCGTATTAGGCCTCCTTAGCTCCCGACCTATCGACCTGCCTAATTTACATTGCGGCAGAATTATCAAGAAATAAACTACCCCTAACTTTCAAAGAGTTATCACAGAGAAAAAAAAATTAGAAATGGAAATATTGTTTGATATTTTGAAGTTAATGAGGACGAATACGGAATTTTCATTTTAACTTTAGAAGCGACGACATTGAAAGAAATGCGTACAATATCATGAGGGGTGTACATCTATGCAAATGTCGATGTATCCCCACGGCCACATACTGTCTCGTTTGAAGTAATGACATAAAAGAAACTACAATTATTCCATTTATATCACAGGAGAGTTGAACATACACCATTTTTTAATGAATAAAATAATTTTATTAAAGAAATAAAATTAAAAATCAACATATTCAAGTTCAACAAAACTTGAATTCGTATCCAGGTTTCATGTGATATGGAATGCATAACGCATACATATATGGACTAAACACTAAAATCTTTCAGTAATTTTTTCCTGATACATATAAAAAGAGTAGTCAATATTTATTCTGCATTCATGAATTTAAAAACTAATGCATACCTCCGGGATTCAAATGACGAAATACCGGTATATTTACACTGTAAACGACGTTTCGTCAAACACTAATATGGTCTGTGACGCAAAAAAAGGAAGGGGTGGGGGTGATAGGGGCATTCCAAAATTGCCTAAAAATCTACATTTAAATACGCTTAACATATGAGAACTTTTAAATTTGTAAGTTAATATATTTTTGAAGCAAAAGCAATATTCCAATTTAATTTTTTAATGTGTATTTATAGATTCATATAACAAAGTGATCGACCCCCGTCTGAAAGACGCGCGGGAACGTGATTTATTGAGAAAGGGGGAGGGGTAATTTTCCGCTATTAAATCAAAACTGGTCGTACAAAAATTATACAAAAAATTATGCAGATTATTTTTACCACCAGCTACCAAAAGAAAGTTTTTTACTAAAATTAAACGACAGGTTTTTTCACAAAAAAATTTTGAATTTGAAAAATACGCAATTTTCAAGGCTTAGATAATTCATAGTTTTTCAGTTTAAGGTCTTTAAAAATTATTTTGATGATATGTATATCAAAAAGATGACTATTTTTTTGTGTTAAATGGTTAAAGGAATAAGCCAATGAAATTTGACATTTATATCTAACCTGGCTTTTTTGAAAATCAAGGTTTAAGTATAGTTCATTGATTAAAAATTTTCTCTCCTTGTAAATAACTAAAGGGGGGTAACTTTTGGAATTTCCTGTCCAAAAACCACTCGAACGATTTTGTCCAAAATGTGCATACATGCAGTAGATATAGTTATGTACTAAATATACAAAAATAACGAAAATTAAACGACAGGAATTTTTTGGGGTAGGTGTGTTGTACATCCTTAACTGCCGTGAAAAAATCCGTAAATTGAAGTTTCAAAAAAACGAATTTTTCCTTCCATTATATTATTCACCGACATCTTAACTGTGTATTTATGTCTTGTATATGAATCAAAAAAATTTTAATCAAAGAAATCTAAATCAAAATGTAAGGCATGGGTCGAGGCAATTTCATGAATATCAATAGATAATCAGGGTCACGCTTTTTTCAGCGTCTTAATACATAGTCAGCGCATGTTTGTCGGTTGTTCTTAAGAAAACTGTAGTTGTATATTGAACAAAACAATGTCATATTAAAAGGAGAAGAGCAGACAAAGTCTCATATTGCGCTCATATTTAATTTTACAAAAACACGTTCAAAACAGACTTGCCGCTTCCATTGTCATGACTGTGTTAACCTAGATTTAATGACTCCGATTGACCTGCTGAATATTACCATTCATCACGTGGTGTATAGCCGCGATGAATACAATTATTCTATCACGTGACCTCAAACCTATTTAGAAATGAGAGCGTGTTTTGTTGGTCTGACATTCGCAAATTTGCGCATTTTAAATCCGTTGTAATCACTCCGTTATATTGTTTGTTGTGTTCACAAAAACAATTAGACATATCTTTTGATTTCATATTGACGTTTCTGTAAGTATTATAAGGTGATAATATACACATATTCGATATTTGGGGGGCTATAGATTAGCTTTCAGGTAAGTTGAGGTTATTTTGGATAAGATCACTTTTAGAGGGGTTATAAAGTGTGTTTTTTCTTCTGATAAGGTAAGTTAGGGGGGTTTAAGATAACTGTTTATTCCCTGTAAATTATTATAAGAAATAATGCCGAAATCCGACAGTTGTATCGTTTGTAATAAAAGGGTTTCTCCAAATTATCGTCGATCTCTCAAAGAAGTGAAATATGCGGCATTGAGAGAGAATATTTCTGTGTTGTTAGATAAGACAGTCAGCGAGAATGATTGTATTTGCGATAAATGCCATAAAAGGTATTCTAGGGGTAAACTGGGTGAGGTTGCCCAAAATGAAATCAAGGGGACCACATTTTATTTAGGCACAAAATGTAGCAAATATTGTGCAGTATGTGGAATGAAGAGAAAATCTCAAAGAAGAATACCGCAAACAGCACGGACAGACATGTTTCTTAAATACAATGTCATTCTGTATGATAATGCCAGAGCTTGCCCTGTTCATTTTGCCGAAAATGGCTACTTGAAAAACTCCGATTTACAGCAATATTCATTTCGTTTCAAGCGAGGAAAATCGTCCTTGACCTCAAATGAGCTATTGCAACAATTGTGTCGCTGTAGAGAACTTATCATGAAAAACAGCAATTCTAGGATTGATTTTGACAATAGAGATTTTCTAAATAAAGATGATTATGTGTCATTAACAGGTTTAACTCCTGATCAGTTTGATGATCTTTGTTTGCAAGTCGCTAGTTTTAAAACCAGAAAATTTTCGAAGAGAACTGCTCTCGGAATATTGCTGACAAAACTCCGAACTGGCTTATCCAGTAACCTGCTTAAAACATTGTTTAATATTGCAGATAAATGCTGCATATGTAGAACTATCCAGAGAGCCAGGAACGTTTTATTGAGACATTTTGTCCCAAAGCACTTGGGCTTTGACCATATTTCAAGACAAAATATTCTTCGGGATCACACCACGGTCTTTGCGCGGGAACTCTTGGCATCTGGTGACCATAATACAGCCATTCTTCTTATTGATGGAACCTACATTTATATTCAAAAAAGCTCCAAGTATACATTTTAAAGAAAATCATACAGTGTTTATAAAGGTCGCCCACTGGTGAAGCCCATGATGATTGTTGCTTCGGATGGCTATATAATTGAAATACTGGGTCCTTATTTAGCTGATGGAAAGAATAACGACGCAGCTATTCAAAATAAACATTTGCTCGAGGGAGAGGGGAGGTTTTGGAATGGGCTAGAGAAAATGATATTTTAGTTTTAGATCGAGGATTCAGAGATTCATTAGAGGTCATTAAATCAGTTGGGTTACAATCAAAGTCACCATATTTTTTGGGTAGGGGGCAAAAACAACACTCTGTAAAAGAGGCTAATTTATCCCGTTTAGTTACAAAAATCAGATGGACGGTAGAATCTGCTAATGGCAGACTAAAAAGACGGCAGTTTTTAGCAAATGTAGTAACCAACAGTCAAATCCCGTATATTGGGGACTATGTTCGAATTGTGGCCGCTT